ATAAAATCGAATTGGGTATACGCGCGCCCCAAGCTTGATGTTGCTGGCGCACGAAAAATGTAGCTAAATAAAAAGGAAAAGAAGTCTCATACATTAATTTAGTCTGACCTTGCCTAAAAGAATTTCAAGTGCCGCGGCTATTGAGGATTCTCTCTTGTTTAACTATTATGTTCTTATTAAAGTAGACTGTGAGGATGTGTTTCAGCAAAGTTTTCATAACAATAGATTTTGTATTTCTGTTTTGGCAAAACTGTGTATTTGCATTGTTAAATTTATTCTGTATAGCAAAAATATGTTTATTATCATGTTTACATTGTAGCAGTGGGAAATATTACTTTATTCGCACAAATATTTTAAGATTGATTAAAAATGCTTTTAACGTTGTAGGTTTCTTTTGCCTTTCCACCTCCCCTAAAATATTATTTAATTATTCGAGAAATATTGTCTTTTCAACAGTTATTAAATTCTTAAGTTTTAGGTTTAAACGAGTTATGATATTGAAGGGTAAACTTCTGTCACTACATATTTTTTGAAAAGTCGGTTAATGGCTGCCTATTACACATGCGCAATAAAGTAATAGGCTCCTGCTACAGTTTTGCATGACGCAGCAACCACGTGAGCTTGTAGCATAGATTAAGTTTCAAGGCTGTCGCTTCTTTACCTGTTTGTAACGGGTACCTTGTAAAAATGTGTAACGACCGTGAAGGTTTCAGTTGAAAAGTGTGTCACATACCGAGCCCAGAATTTGTTATTCATTTGGACAATCAAACACAGAATCAGGCTTAGAAGTTAGAAAATCAAACATATTCATTAAGCCTAGTAAATATAATGAAAATCAAATTAGAATGCAGATGTTTTAACTTTTCATCAGACAAAATCATACATTTGTAAGCCTTATAAGGGTTCGAGTTTGGCTCAGGCATTAACGATCCACACCATGGATCTGCTGGTCCATCATTCGCCTCTCGTTACTGCAAAGCCAAATTCGCAATCCGCATTTTGGGGCTTTGGGTGCTTTATAAGTGTTATAGTCAAACCTCAAAATTCCGTCAGGCAAGTGTTAGCGTTGGGTGTTGTCGACCATCTGTCCTCTCTTTAGTCTATCGCTTCCAAATGAGGAGCAGATGGCCCCTTGACTAGCTTTGTGGGAAGATCCGAAAAGAAAGAAAGAAACAAACCTTGTATTTGTAAGTTTATATAGATTGCTCGGAAAGTATGTGCTTGTAGTTATTATTTTTATAATTAGGTTTTT